ACAAACAACAGGAGATATCTTGATAGCAGGATTTTTTCTACGAGTCGATCTATGCGGGGAGCGTACCCACGGTATATGTTATGTAAAAATACGGTATTATTTGTCCGTCGTGTTAAATACAAAAGGGGAACGGCTTCCCAGAGGAGTCACAACCCCTTCCACCTCAATTTAGCTCAGTTCTTAGTACAGGAACTTGGCTGCAGGGATTTCATATGAACAAAATCCTGCATTTATTTTCCAACCCAAATCCCCTCCCATTTTGTAGTTGACCAGTTCTTACCCATTCAAGACAGGGTATAGTGGTGTTTTGTGAGATCCTTACTAAAACCCTTGGTTTTCAATCGGCATGCCATTTCCTCCTCTGCACATTTCTGTTTTACAGCGCACACCACCTTACTTTACCGAAAAACTGTTTTAGTTGTGTTTGCCAGTAATAAAGGACAACTTAACGGAAATTTTAAAAAACAAAGACCTTTAGTATCTTTGAAAATAGGAGATTGAACTACTGACCCGAGTGCGTCACCATAATCACGCTTCAGCGGCGCATACGAATCTTATCCCAAATGGCTAGCGGCATCGCGCAACTCAAACACGCCTTTGGCTTTCGGACTGGCATAAACAATGCGTTGGCCTTTAAAGACGAACAAACGCTCGTGTATCCTTGCGGATCAAACCTCGTTTTATACAACATTGATCACAAAACTCAAAAATTTATTCATGGTCTGGAAAAATCGGATGGAATGACGTCAATGGCAATGAGTCCCAATCGACGATATGTGGCACTGGCAGAAAAAACGGAGGAAAGACCTTTGATCGTCATATACGATCTTAATTCACTTAAAAGACGAAAAACTTTGTACGATCCAGAACTCCAGAGTGACGAATTCATAAGCATACACTTTTCCCCGGATTCGATGCATCTAATTTCTCAGGGAGGCGCGCCTGACTGGAAGCTTTCATACTGGGTGTGGCAGAAAAACAAAATCATGGCCTACACAACAACCTCTTTGGGCAACCCTATTCACGAGGTACTAATCTTAACACCGTATTTTTATATTTTTCAGGTGTCTATAAATCCAAATGACAGTACACAAATGTGTGTGACGGGAAAAGATAATTTCAAAGTTTACGGACTCAATGATGGAGTTATCAAACAAATTGGCCTTAGCAAAATTGACCCACAATACTTCCTATGCCACGCATGGATAAACGACGAACAACTAGCTGTTGGGACGGCCAAAGGAACCTGGATACTAATAACTAACGGGGAGCCCATCGAAGAGCATGATATGAAGGTTAATATATCAAAAGAAGGCGAGCAGTTCGACGATAACCAGTGAGTCATTAGTGCTAGTTACCCTATTCCGACGCTCTCCCCTATTTAAGTTCATTGACGTGCTTAATGTTGTTCATATCCTGCCGACAAAATAGACGTTTGCTGGCTGTTGACTTGAACTTGGAAAACCTGGGAATTATTGTCCATAGAATATTTTGCGAAAAATGACGGAACAAGTTTGGCCCCAGGACTAGACAACTAACCGCCTTGTCCAATGATATTTGCACAAGAGTGCGTACTTTTTATTAAGGCAGATCCGTATTTTACGATGTCCTTTTGGTCGGAAATCCCGACTGAGCGAATCAGACTAAGAGTCAGATGTATGACCGGCATCTCATTATAATCATTTTTGAAAATCACAGGGGATCTAGGCTTCAAGTCCAATTATTTCAGAACCAGCTCTCTATAAACATTGAATTACTCAGATACCGGTCCTTTGCCAAACTTGCCATCTGGAACTGAAAGCACTATGTTATCGGAAATATTCTAAACTTTGTCATACTAAGTATTTTATCGTTTTCAAAAGACAAACTTCCTACTGAATTTTATCATTTTCTGACTTCGAAGGCAGGAATTGGAAGACGAAAGTCAATTAATCACAATGGAAAGCGCAACCGCCATTGTGGCGTCATCGAAGCATATTTTTGTGGCGTGTGGTCCCGGACTGGTACACTGCTTTGAGAAGGAAGTGGTGCCGACTAAAAAGGTGCGCAACAAGCAACAGAAGAATAACAATGTACACACTCCCACTCAAATATACCGACGAACTAAAGAGATACGCATCCCTGCAAATCCAAACAGTAGTTCGGATACCGGCTCGTCTAGTCAACAGATGGTATCGAAACTCGTCATCAGTCCATCAGAGGAGACCTTAATTGCCAGCACAACTTCTCATCAACTGTATCTCTACATACTAGTGTCTCCTGAAATGGGCATAAGTGGAAAGCATGAAGTTGGCAACCTACTCAGGAAAAAAGACCAAGGGGGACATAAGAAATCGGGAGTTACACAAGCAGCAAATGAAGAGGCCGAGCAGCCTTGTGAAATTGACCACTTCGAGTTGCTGGCACAAGCTTTTCACGAGGACCGCATCTTAGGATTGGACTGCTGCATTCGCAAGCCGTTAATTGCAACATGCGCTGCCGATAGAACAGTGCGAATCTGGAATTTCGAAACAAAGTCAGTGATATTTTTGGGTGCTTTCATCTGCCGACCTTCTTCCAAAAACAAAATAGTTTTAAATTTAACTATAAGAGTAAGACACGTTTTTTCATTTTCCCACAAACTACATTCGAATAATGTTCACCCTAAACTTACCGAAAAAACACAAGTAATCTGGTTAAATATTTTCAATTTTTTATTTGAAAGAGAAGAATGCGAATTATTCTGGAAATGATACCACCAAAAGTCTTAGAAAAGAACATCCTGCATTCGTTGTGAACAGATTACAAATTTATATACGACGAGGGAGTGAATGGATTTACTCAAAACTGCATGACCATTATGGGGGCAGTTCGAGTTTCATGCCAAAATGGTAATACGGGATGTCAGTATGCCGATATAAAGGAAAAAGGCATGCTAGAGGCCACAACGCATGGGCGGAAAGACTTCGAAGTAATTAATTAGGGGTGGAGAAGATGAACATAATTATTCGACATTTGATCAGCGAATTATTTGAGTGTTGCGAAATTTCGTTGTGCTACGCTGTCGAGTAAAAAGACATTATTAAGGTTAGCAGCCAAAGACAGCATCTGGAGGACGCGTTTTTAACTGAACATACCCTTTTAAAACATAGCAGGAAGAAAAACAAGAAAGCATTAAGAAAGGAGGGGGGGAATACAGGCATATACAGATCTCCAAATTAGAGGCTGTGAGATGGTGTAGGGACGTAGAGGTCGGATATGATAAACAATTTTGTGAATTTTATCTTAAAAGATTTGAGCATGCTGGATGGATGAGATATTTGGGAAAAAAGTAACCACCGAATACCGGAATAATGATACTTAGTTGGGAAAGGTGTTAAAAGATTCAGAAATGGGAGAGGGCCGCTGGAAAAATACACACTGGACTGATTTCTGACTACAAATTAGAAAACCATTTCTCAACGATCCTACAGAGGGACGATTCAAGCCATCAATCATATCGCCAGCATACTTAACACATAGGAGGCCATTGGGAGGTCTCCGATCCTCAGCGTGAAGTGAACAGAGGTGGGAGGGATAAGATGGAACCCTAATGAACTCCGCAATTAGCAAGGAGAAGAGTAGATTTCTGCTTGCCAGACTGGACTATTCGGGTGCGGAAGACAAAATAAACCGCAAGAGGGGAGATCACCCAACCAGGAGAGCCGTACTCGGGTATTTTGCTAAGGAGAAGCTGCGCGGGATAGTGCTGAAGGCAAAGGAGTAGTTATGAGATGCACACGCGTACGCACGGCAACTCATGTCCAGCTCTCCTAGAACGGATTAAGCCACAAAAGTAACAGCATCCAGGTGATTACTCCCAACGTTATATGCAAATTTTAAAGGGTGCGAGATGTGAAAGGAGAATAAAATATACATCTGAAGCACAGGAAATAAAAAGCTAACACTGTACAACATGACAGCATGAAGTCTGACAGAATATTTTATATAGGTGACCCCCGGAAGCTACTGGTTCGAGTAAAGTGCGTTATGACAAAATTACGAAAAGAATAAAGCATTTTTAAAATACTGTGGTGCTGATTGTATGGGCCAGTTCATCAGTTTCGTTTAGAATCGCTGCTTTCAAATGTTAAGGCTTTAGTATTACTGTTTGCGTCTTATTAATTACCACTAGACAATGGTAGTCCACAATCTAAGTTTTAATCTTGGATCCGTAAATCACTGGGTAGTGGCAGTCAGCACCATGCATTTAAACTGCCGGACTTGCCTTCTGTCATCTGATCTCAAGTCACGTAAGAATAACGTTCACCGATTTATTCCTAGTTGCAAGAAGGAAAGAGGCATTTCCCGTTTTCGTTGGGCTCAGGATATACAGTCCATCGGGATTCTCGCACAACAACAAGCAGTCAGTAATCAAAATAGAGTCACAACCTGGTATTATAATTGGACAGACAGCTAAAGACGAGTGCACAAATGTCAACTGGATCCCAGTTCAAACTCTACAGGAAACCCAAACCGGGATTTAGGGCATGACTATTGGATGATGGTTTATGATTCACAACAGTTCATAAGTCGTTTACACACGACGGCCTAGATGGACCGTAGCCCCGGAGTTCCAGGTCGAAATTGGAATACCCACTTACTATCTTCAGTCCAGACAAACAAGTTAAGACTACCTGTATATAGTTGCCTTTGTGTGAGGGTTGGGAGTAAAGCTATCGGCGTTTTACCTAGAGGAAAGCATTTTCATCTTGGATGTTTTAAAGAAAAGCCTCCGGCTGTCTTAATCGAACTTCCTGTGAACCCAAGCCGTGTTCACATACATAGTGCTTCCAAGCCCTGGCAGCCGCGTATTAGTTAAGGAGGAATATTTTTCTCATACAGTGCACTGTTTAACCGTACATGTTGATTAATACCAGCTGTGAATTAAAATATTTATTCTTAAAACATAGGAATATAACATAGCTTTGCTCCTGTACTCGTACTTTGTGTCAGTCACGGTGTTTTTAATCATATATATCAGTAAACCGGAAGTCTTCGGATAACGAAAACAGGTTTTTGAAATATGAGCCAAAACATTTGCTGTCAATCTACAAAAAACTGTTTTATGTTCTACAACTGTGCCTCTGAGAAGTCCATTATTTGATCTATTAATTCAACCTGAGATGCATTTTACTTTTCTTGATTTTCAGGCATTTGGATTTGTACAAGGAATTTGCCGAAGAGGCCTACAGCATCGCTCTTCACCCGAACGGATTGCACGTTCTTGTGGGGTTTAGTGACAAACTGCGTTTGATGAATTTGCTCTTTAAAGATATTCGCCCCTTTAAGGAGTTCCCGATTCGTGGCTGCAAAGAGGTACTTCCTCGTTAAGTTTAATATTTTTTCGCTACTCTTTCTACTTTCAAATGTTCCCCAGCATTCTGTAGGTGAAAAGGCATATTTGTGTGTCTACATACTTCTTATTGAGCCTTTGTTTGCCCTCTTTTCTCAATAATATCTAGTGTGCTTTCAGTAGAGGTGGAGCACTGTTTGCGGCAGTCCACGGGAACACAATCCAGATCTATTCCTTTATGGAGTTTACAAATTTGCACAACCTGAAGGCTCACAACGGAAAAATCCGCTGTCTTCTTTGGACCAATGAAGATCAAAAACTCATTTCTTGCGGTATGGATGGTGCTGTCTATGAATGGGACATAAACACAGGTAAGACGTTCAGTAGAAAATCTTAACTCCACTGAAGGTAAAAAAGTTAACCAAAATCCAAATAAGTTAGTCTCCTTATCCCAGAAACTAGCGGAAGATCGCTCTTCAACAGATTACATTCGATAAAATGACGGCCAGTTTAATGTCCTCCATAGCCGTCGCACAAAGTGAAAAACAGCTAGTAAAGGGCACACGAGAGTAGAGGTCTTCGATCTGGCTTGATTGTAGGAGGGAATATGAAAGTTTGGTTTTGCTTTGCAACTACATTCTAGTGTCCACGTAGGCTGTTAAGCAGCCATAAGCAATGAGTACTTGAAAGGTATCATCAACAAAGGCAATGGGCGCTGGTAATTAGGCAGCCATACCAAAATCGCAGGTCAGAAAACTCGGATTCGAGCACTAGTCCTTCGGTCACTGAGCCAAGCACTAACTTCATATCAACTTTCCATATCTTTGCCTGTGAAGCTTGTTGATTATAGCGTGTACTTTTGTTGGTGTGGCCAGTGCCATGTTTGATTTTTGCATTCCGCCGGCTGAGAAAAGTGGGAATTTCCAGCATGCATAGCAATCAGGCAAATGTCACGGATAAATGTACAGTTTCCAAAACCCTGCACACCAGGGGTTTTAAGGTCTATCTACTGTCTGCAGTCTACAGCAGGCCACGAATATTGACGGCCGCTTAAAGAAATCATTATTGTCATAGGCTCAGGGCACATTCTAAGGTCGCAATGGTCCTACCATTTGGTCACGTGGGAGCGGTTCTAGTGCCATACACCCTAATTAAGCGTGATATCCATTATATTTCTGGAGCACTAGGAGCGGCATTACTGAGTATAAGTGTTGCCTAAGTCCCTATGTCCACTTCCCTAGAGCACTAGCATAGATCCTTAAACGCAATTTCAGGTGTAACACTGCTGATTCATAGAGATTGTTAAATAACTGCGAACAATATGGCTTTAGAGACAAACCTTTTAAAGTCTCCAGAAATCTAGGGAAAGGCCCGTGAGGAATTGTTTAAAATATCAGCTGAATTCCAGACCTTCAAAATCGCAGTGGTGGAGTCTTCGTCTTTATTTACAGTCCGCTATTATGAACGTTCCAATCTGTTTCAGTATAGAAGGCCAGAAGTGATATTAAGCCCATGCCGGATACCTCTCAAATCCTGAAAAAGCGTTAGACACAAATGGCAAAGACAAAAACATGATTTAAAATGTCCAGTAACAAGCATGTTTGCTAATTCCTTGCAAAAAAGGCTTAGAGTGCTTTTGTCAGTTCTCTTAAAATGATATACTAACTATGAGAAAATATACATAACAGTTGTAGGAAGTGAAAAGGGCATT